CACTTTATCATGATAAGAGGTGGCAAGTTCAGGAAAACTTATATTTGGCAAATGGTATATGGGAAAGGTAGAGACTGATTTGAAAATGTTTAGGAAGAGAAATCAATAAAAATTGATTGTTTAATCTGATATAGGTTGTGAGAGTAGGAAAACAACCTAGAACAACCAATTTGTTATACTTTACATGGTTAATATTTCTTGTCCCTTTCTTTAACTCTCTCTGTTTCCTATTGCCCAGTATTCTGTTTATTCTCTAGGTTTATTTGACATGAATGTATAAATGCATTCCACCATTTATTTATTTTACATGTAAGTCTGCCCTCCAACATGCACCTCTAGGCCACAATTATATCTAATCAACCTTTGAATATATTTTGATAAATTAATGTTATAGGCTATTTTCAGTGTACATTGTAATAGGAAGAAAATATCCACTGAGACAACATATTGATCATATTAATGAACTAGGACATTTCATGTGATAGAAAAATCTCCTACTGTTCTCTATCATTTTCAATATATGCATTTGAGAATAAATTTATATTGTTGGGGTGAATTCCGAATATACAAAATAGCCACTTATTGATTTGGGTATGAAACTGTTATTTGGAATCAAATATTGAGACCTATTGATATTGAAATAAGGAGGACCTTATCTTGTTGTACAAATATAAATTAAAATTTAAAAGATGTCTTCTATCTACTTAAATTATTGCATTTTAGGATACCACTATAGGGATACTAAGGAAGCAGAAATAGAAACACATAGAGGAAAAATAATTTTTAATAGATGTATAAAACATCTTTCTCAGTATAAAAATCTTCCTGGCCGGGCGCGGTGCCTCACGCCTGTAATCCCAGCACTTTGGGAGGCCGAGGCGGGTGGATCATGAGGTCAGGAGATCAAGACTATCCTGGCTAACACGGTGAAACCCCATCTCTACTGAAAATACAAAAAAAAAAAAAATTAGCTGGGCGTGGTGGCAGTGTCTGTAGTCCCAGCAACTCAGGAGGCTGAGGCAGGAGAATGAAGTGAACCCGGAAGGCGGAGCTTACAGTGAGTTGAGATCGCGCCACTGCACTCCAGCCTGGGTGACAGAGTGAGACTCTGTCTCAAAAAAAAAAAAAAAAAAAAAAAAACTCCTGAAAGTGGAATAACACTTTCCCAAATTCTATTCTCCAGGGATGAAATGAATTCCAGGTGGGACTAAGATGTGAAAATACAATGGTGAATGGTTATTTGTTATGAATCGACAAATGTTGATTTGTATTTGTAACAAAAGTTGTTTTCAAATGTAATTAATCTTAGAAAATTAGTGTTTGATTTTATATTCTACCCTAAATACATATTTAAATCTTATTCCTCATAAAGAATGATTAGGTAGGGAACAAATATGAGCTTTGCCTCCCAACTTGAAATTCTTGATCTTTTCATGCATATGTTTAAAAAATGTTAAGTTTTTCTCTCAGGTTAACAAATGGATGGAATGACATCTTATTCAGTAATAATATGTGAGTGTTTTATTGCTAAAGAAATGGAATGCTACCCTGGTTGCCTTCCAAAACCCCAAATTTGGGAGCACTTATTATGTCCAGTACTGACAAGGTAGAAAATAAGAACACTTGGACTTAGAAACAAGGAAAAAGTAAAAATAAATAAATGGATAAAAATAAACTCTCATACTGGTATAGTGCTCTAATGAGCTGCAGAACTCCATGCTGACTTCAGATACCACCAGAATTAGAAACTAGACATTGCTTATACCTCTGTTTAAAAAAAAAAAAAAAAAAAATCTGAAGACTGACTACAACTAAATATGCTTTACTTTCAACCTTCTCTTTCATAAACAGAGAAAGGATCATTTACACATAACTAGGTAATGCAATAATGATTTTGAGATAGGGCTTGCTCAGGTTAGCATTTTCTGAATTGATTATATTATTTACATTTTTGCATGAATTTTCATTGCCATATAAATTATCAAAGTAAACAACATATGAAAGATTTCTAAACTTAAAGATAATAAACTGTAAGAATTTGAAGAACTAGCACACTGCTCGTTCACTACATTTTCTATGTGAAAAAAAAGTATGTGAAAACATAAATTGAATATAGATTATTTACATGTGACTAGAGAGAATTGTTACAGATTGCATGTATGTGTCCTTCCACAATTCATATGTTGAAATCCTAACCCTCAGTGGAATGGAATTAGGACAGAGACCTTTTGGGAGGTAACTAGGTCATGAGGGTGGAGCCTTTACAATGGGATTAGTGCCCTTATAAGAAAACTATTAGAGCAAGTAAGGGAGTCTTGTTTATGATTTCTTCTCTCCATCCTGTGAAGATACAATGAGTATCTGTGAAGAAAGAACAGAGCCCTCACCTGACATTGAATCTGCCAGCACTTTGATCTTGAACTTCCCAGCTGCCAATGATGTAGGAAATAAATCTTTGTGAAGTCAAACATAGCATATTGTATTTGTTTGTTACAGCAGCCCAAACAGCTGAGTGCAATAATTATTGATTTTGAGGTAAACGTGTATGTCTATATATGTCTGTCTGCATGTATATAAATGTGTTTATGTATTGATATCACACATTTATTCACACTATGACTTGGATACCCAGCAACAATGTAGCTTTTTTATTTTGTCTATAACTATTATAGACGTCCTTACCTTCCATATATAGAAAGAATAATCTCACAATCTCATCAACTAACATTAGCCTGGCTATGATAACATAAATAGTCACTTTAAGTAATGTTCAGCCTCTCTAAGTAAACATGCTTGATTTTCAATAGTTCTCCTCATGTCCTGCACCTCTCTAAGATAGTTCCTTCACATCTAGGGTTTGGGTGAGGTTCTGTAACTTGGTGGTGTTTGAGAAGAGTCCTTAGATCCTCTGTGACGTTTTCTTGTTCCACTAATCTTAAAGGTAACATTCCTTATTCAGTAGCTCACTATATGTTTTTCTAGCACTTGGGGATTTAGTTAGGAGGTGATACGATCATGTCTTGTTTAGGTTTGTCAGAGCCCATGGTTTCTAATTCACCCACTCTCATTTATGAGGTAGTTGGCTTCAGGGACTCTATTATATCTGCTAGTGACTCACATTGGTGCCGAAGGTAGCCCAGGAAAACTAATTATCTCTGTGACCATGCTGAACGTTCTAGCTTATTTGGAATGACCTTATACTGGTCCATCCAGAGAAACGTTCATCCCACAGCTGCACATTTTTATCAAGATAAATTCTATTGAGCGAGCACAGTGGCTCATGCCTGTAATTCCAGCACTTTTGGGAGGCCAAGGTGGGTGGATCTCAAGGTCAAGAGATCGAGACCATCCTGGCTAACATGGTGAAATCTCATCTCTACTAAAAATATAAAAATTAGCTGGGTGTGGAAGCACATGCCTGTAGTCCCAGCTATTTAGGAGGTTAAGGCAGGAGAATCACTTGAACCTGGGAGGTGAAAGTTGCAGTGAGCTGAGACTGCACCACTGCACTCCAGGTTGGCAACAGAGGGAGAGTCTGAAAAAAAATTTAAAAATTTAAAAAAAAGAATTATATTTAAGACTCCTCAATTATATGATATTTTAAATTATTTTAATCCTCAAATCTTGATAAACCTGAGTGTCTGATTTACTCTACTCTTGTCTATCAATTCACTTCTAATATCCTTTTAGCTTTCATAATACCTCAATTTTTAATAATTAAAATACTGGATGGGCGCAGTGGCTCACACCTGTAATCCCAGCACGTTGGGAGGCCAAGGCAGACGGATCACGAGGTCAGGAGATTGAGACCATCCTGGCTAACACAGTGAAACCCCATCTCTACTAAAAATACAAAAAAATTAGTTGGGCTTGGTGGTGGGTGCCTGTAGTCCCTGCTACTCAGGAGGCTGAGGCAGAGAATTGCTTGAACCTGGGAGGTGGAGCTTGTAGTGAGCTGAGATCTTGCCACTGCACTCCAGCCTGGGCAATACAGCAAGATTCCATCTCAAAAAAATAGTAATAATAATAATACATAATCTAAAATACTATTTTTTGCAAGAATTTTTATTGCCATATATTATCCATTTACTCTGATTTGATAATTTAATAATTTTAATAATTAAATTTAGAATTTGATAATTGTACTATTTTAAACTTTCATAATACCCCTCTCTATTTCAAATCATTAAATATATAATAGAATGTACATTAAACTTTCCAGATAATGTAATGTGTGAAACTTTTAGAACTGTCCCTATAATGCAATGCCTCGTGACATAAAGCAACAGTAGTCATAGTCTACACTAGGGAGAAAATTCTATTATTACAGTTGTACTCATTTTCTAATGTTCTGTAACAAATTACTGCAACTTAGAACCGTAACATAATACCCATCTATCATCTCACAGTGCTGTAGGTCCAGGCATGGCATGGCTCATTTCTTTCATCAGTTTCAAAAGCCTAGAATCAAAGTGGCAGAGGGCCTATGTTCTCATCTGCAGCTTGGGGTCTACTTCCAAGTTCACAGAATTTGGTAAGTTTCAGTTCTTTGCAATTGTAAGATTGAAGTTTCTGCAGGTGTAAGACTGTTTTTAACTGTCAGTCAGAGGATGTTCTGATCTTCCTGAAGTCGCATATGTTCCTTATCACATGACCTTTTTCATGTTCAGAACCAGCCTAGGAAAATACCCTTCATGTTGATCTTCTTTCATGCTTCAAATCTCTTTGCTAAGCAGAACTCAGTCAATTTTAAGGACACACCTGATTAGGTCAGGTCCACTCAAGAGAACCTTCATTCTTTAAGTCAACCGTGTTAAAATAACGTAATCAAAGGACTGACTATGCCATTACGTATAGTTCTTAGCCACACTCAAGAGACAATGGTAACTGAGAGTTATTATAGAATTGTACTCTAACAGTCAATCATCATGACCTTTAATATGTCAAAACAAAAGTTAAAAGAATTTAGGAAATAGCTCTTTTACCAAAGACCCGCCAACATGGGCCGCATTCGCACCAAAACCGTGAAGAAGGAGGCCCGGGTCATCATAGAGAAGTACTACAAGCGCCTGGGCAGCGACTTCCACACGAACAAGCGCGTGTGCGAGGAGATTGCCATTATCCCCAGCAAGAAGCTCCGCAACAAGATATCAGGCTATGTCACGCATCTGATGAAGCGGATTCAGAGAGGCCCTGTAAGAGGTATCTCCATCAAGCTGCAGGAGGAGGAGAGAGAAAGGAGAGACAATTACGTTCCTGAGGTCTCAGCCCTGGATCAAGAGATAATCGAAGTAGATCCTGACACTAAGGAAATGCTAACGCTTTTGGACTTCGGCAGTCTGTCCAACCTGCAGGTCACTCAGCCTACAGTTAGGATGAATTTCAAAACGCTCGGGGACTTCTTTGAATTTTTTCTGCAGTGCTATATTATTTTCAATAAATCTGGGTCAACAGCAAAAAAAAAAAAAAAAAAAAAAAAAAAAAAAAAAAAAGAATTTAGGAAATATATTTTCCTCTCTTAAGAATGGCTGTTTTTCCAATCTATAATCTTGTTGCCTGATCTTATTTTTGATGTCAGAAGCTGAATATTAGTAACTTTATTATTTTTTTCTGATGTTGTGTTTGTACTTGTTTTTTTTAACTTCTTCTTTCCCAAAATATCCACATGGGTTACTCCCTCACTTTATTCTAGTATATGATCAATTTCCATCTTATAAGAAATATTGTTCTTGATCTTGTAATATTAATAGCATCATGAACTCAATTCTACATTTCTAACTTTTAAAAAATATATACCGCTTACATGATATATAATTTGTTTTATATGTATTTGTTTATGTCCTGTATTTCCTATTGAGAGAAAATGGCTTGTTTGTTTAATTGCTTGGTACCTCAAGTGCAGAAAAGTTTCTGGCACATAACAAGGTGTAATAAACATGCATTCTTGCTGTTGTTTTATTATGTCATGTATTAGAATTAAAACACATTTCTATTTTTTTTCCCACATAGTTGAAGACTGTGCTTACTTTTTCAAAAAGCAATGTTGAGATTTTTACAATACTAAAACCAATGTTTAAGAAACGGAAAAATGTATGTCCTTTTTTAGCAATCAACAAGAAATTTTAGACAACTGATAAAATGAGAAATAAGACAATTTAACAAAATGATGATAGTTATCCTCTTAAAACAGCTTTGCTAATTAGTTTGTAGAATATAACTCAATCATTTCATTGATTTCTCCATATTCATAATTATATTAACTATTTTGCATTTATGAAATGGAATAAAAGATGTGTATGTTTTTTAATAAAACATAATTACTTAAATAATTAATGCATTGTTTAACAATGTTAAGTCTTTGAAATCTATTGACAATACACAAAAGAAATTAAAGCCAGGTATGGCATTTTCATTTAGAAAATATAGTTCAATTTTAAATAAAACTCCTTTCTTAGGAAAATTGAGAACACCATAATTATGTTGCAAAATGATTAAATGGAGCAAAGAGATTTAGGTAGTAATTAATTCCTTTAGAAGCCAGGTTTGTTTGTAAAACAATACATTACACATTTATAACCCAATCCCCACCCCAAAGTGCTCTATGTATATTTCCAGATAATAGTTTTCTTCTTGAACATTTTACTATGCCTTCCTTTTGCGATCATTTATATATTCATGCAATAAAGTATTTTAAAAATATAAAGAAGATTTAAACAATAAGTAATGGATTACCAATCTTCTTTAGAAATTTAGCACAAATTTAGTCTTGTTAATTTATCATGGTTTTCCTGAAGGTGAAATAGGTGAAAAGTCCATTATCAGTACCAAAATATGTATTAGTGTATTAATTAGTGTTAAGAGAGGTAGAAAGACAGGGAAAGAGTAAAAGAGAGGTGAAGAAAGATAAGAGTGGAGTTGGCTTACATGATTGTGGTGACTTGGTGAGTTCAAAATCTGCAGATCAAGTAAGGAGACTTGGAGATGGAGAAAACTCAGAGAAAAGTTCCAGTTTTCAGCCAAACGAAGTCTGTTGAGAGAATTCCTTCTTGTTCAGGGAAGGTCAGTCTTTGTACTATTAGAAACTTCAACTGATTAGATGAGGCTTCCTCACAGAAGAGAGTACCAACACTGCTTTTCTAAAAGTCCACCAATATAAATATCAGCCTCATCCCCAAAACACCTTAACGGAATTATCCAGAATAATGTTGGGCCAAATATCTGCGTATTGTGGCCCAGCCAAGTTGACATGTAAAATTAACTGTCACAGGGATCATCGAATATTAATAAAGAAGTTGTAGCCAAAGTGGTTAAGCACATATAGGCGTTAGTGGGGAAGCTGTGTTTGGAACCCAAGCCAGCTGGTCTTTCTTCCCTTGGGAGAGTGTAATTTCACTACACCTTTCTCCTCCTAAATATGGCATAGATATTACATTTAAAAAATAATGAGGAAATCTATGAGTGCTTATTTAGTGAGTTCTAAACTATGTATCTCTATGTATCTAAAATGACATAAAATGTGAATATACATAATCAAAGGAAAAGTGGCAGAAGAACACCTATAATACTCAACAGGTAGTGGAAGAGTCCATGGAAGTTAGATTTTACATGTAACTGAACTCTCTGAGTATGGAATTTCCATGATAAACACATCTTCTAGCTTAATTTAGTATGAGGGGTTGATGTGGAGGTCAAGTAGAACTCTTGGATATTATCCTGCCAATAACTTCATCCCATTATTTTAATTCCTAAAATCAGGAACTATAATTCTCAGACAGTCCCACAGAATGAACACATGATTGATTTACACCCAATGTTGTAACATGTTCAGTTAGATATGTACACAAGACAGAAGAACGTAAAAATAATAGCACTGGAGTCCAGGCACGGTGGCTTGCACTTGTAATCCCAGCACTTTGGAAGCCCGAGGCGGCTAGATTGACTGAGGTCAGGAGTTCCAGACCAGTCTGGCTAACACAGTGAAACCCCGTCTCTACTGAAAATACAAAAATTAGCCAGACATGGTGGCACACGCCTGTAGTACCAGTTACTCAGGATGCTGAGGCAGGAGAATCACTGGAACCCGGGAGGTGGAGGTGGCAGTGAGACAAGATCACGCCACTGCACTCCAGCCTGGGCAACAGAGCAAGACTCCATCTCCTAATAATAATAATAATAATAATAATAATAATAATATTAGCACTGCAGCCATTAGTGTGTTGGTGTTACTTAAAATGCTGAGTGCACAATATTATCTAAAATAGATTATACAATGACAAGAAAATAAAGATGAGAAGTAATGTATGGAAAACAACCAATATTTAAGGAACTAATGGAAACCACTGATTGAGAAAGGAATCTGTAGGAAAACAAAGGCTATATTTTTCATTGTAGAATATTTTAAAAGGTAATTAGAAAGACAAAAATAAGAAGTGGGAGAAAGCTTGGGGTAATTTTGGTCAGAAAGAAAATTAGTTTTAAAAAGAAGTAAACATTAGGTGAGTATTAAATCTTCTCTATTTTTGCTAGAATTAATTAAATGTATTAAGACAGTTAATTCAGGAGAGGAACAAAAATAGTATGAGAAAGACATAGCAGAGTTTTTATATTTGTTTCATAACAAGAATGAAGGAAATCAATAATACATTTTTAGTAGAATTAAGAATGAACTGACAACCAAAACTCCCAACTGCCTCATTTGGAAGATTTCCACTTTACTTTGTAGATGTTGTAATGAGAACATGCTACATGCAAATGAATAAAACATTAATTCCTGAGAAAGCAGCACCTTATGGAATCTTCTGGTGCTCAGTCTGCAGTAATCATTAAATGAGATCATGAGGATTTGGACTGAGGTGGTAATGCAAAGAGCCTACAAGCTTGCAAATCCTCAGGTTCTGCTGATTCATTATATATAATCTCTGGCTTGTTCATAGTCACTGTTAAGAAAGTAAATATTCATAAACCTGAATTTCCTCACCTACATCTCCCAATTCCATTGTTCCATGGAAGAAAAACTAAAAACTGGGGGTGATAAAGTTACTTACTAAAAGCTTTTATGCATTAGCTTTGGTTGCAACCATTTATCATTTTACAGCCTGGATATGTTTCCTTAGATTACGCTGCCAACAAGGAGCTCAAATCTATAAGTGAAAGAGGAGCCAAAAGAGGAAGGAAAAAGAGAAAATATCCACAAAAAAAGCAACTAAAGAAATCACCTGAGGAGAAATACGATTGTAAAGTCATGGGAAAATATTTGAGAGAGGTTTAAAAAGAGAATGAACAACAGAGCCAAATGCAACAGAGAAAAAGATCAAAATGTGCTTTGGATGTAGGGATATGGCCATTAACATTGAATACTTTCAGTTCCGAGGAGAGAATTGAGGGACAGGGACTATCAGGCCATTGAAACCACATTATGATCCAAAACTAGGATTAAGAAGTACATTTGCATAAACAAACCAACAAAAAAGCACAGTAAATTAGAACCACTCTCAGCCAGGCGCAGTGGTTCAGGCTTATAATCCCAGCACTTAGGGAGGCTGAGGCAGGTGGATCATTTGAGGTTAGGAGTTCGGGAACAGCCTTGCTTGCCAACATGTTAAAACCCTGTCTCTACTAAAAATGCAAATTAGCCGGACGTGGTGATGCGCCCCTGTAATCCCTGCTACTGGGGAGGCTGAGGTGGGAGAATTGCTTGAACCCGGGAGGCAGACGCCGCAGTGAGCCAAGACCGCACCACCGCACTTCAGCCTGGGTAACAGAGTGAGATCGCATCTAAGAAACTCAAGTGAGGACAAAAACAAAAGGGAAATAGAAATTCACAAGAGGTACTGGTTTGGAATCAGTCCTTGTTTAACACTGTTATTTGTTATCTTGAAATTAGTTTTGAAAGCACGTACCTGGAGAGTCGTAGGCTCACACCTAACCAATGCTACAATTCAAAATGATTCAAATGCATAATTAAAAAGGAAAATTCCATATGGAATAGTTTATATTTTCCAACATCATACATTTATTAGTTAATTTTTGCTACTTATGGAAGTAACGTGTGTTAACTTAGAAAAATAGGAAACATAGAAAACCATAAAGGAAAAACCACTGTCAGAAGTCCAAATGAGAATAACATTTATTACCATTGTATTTCCCTTAGTTTTTATTATAATTATAATTATTTTGGCTATAGGTGTAAAAGCATATGAATGTTGGCATATACTTTGCTAAAAATTTAGCCTATATTATACACAGAGTGATGCATAACGCTATTTTACTTACAAACATATTGTAAGCTCTTTTACCACAATAGTAAATTTTTAATGGCTACATAGTTATATTCTACTGCATTGCTCTCCTAAAACAGTACTTTAAATTTTTCTTGGTTTTGGTCATTTGGGTTTTTAAGATTTTATTTTTAATTAACTTTGTAATAAACATCAACGTTTACACATA